AAAGCACCTCAAGTACGCAAAGCACCTCAAGTAGACAAAGCACCTCAAGTAAGCAAAGCACCTCAAGTAAGAAAAGTAAGCAGAGCACCTCAAGTAAGTAAAGCACCTCAAGCACGCAAAGCACCTCAAGTAAAGAAAGCACCTCAAGTAAGCAGAGCACCTCAAGTACGCAAAGCACCTCAAGTAGACAAAGCACCTCAAGTAGACAAAGCACCTCAGGTAAGCAAAGCACCTTAAGTAAGCAAAGCACCTCAAGTAAGGAAAGCACCTCAAGTAAGACAAGCATATAAAGCATATATGAAACATATATCTCGGTACAATATATGTCCCCATACATGACGTACCTACCTACTGCGCACAGCATTCTGGGAAGATCAAGAAGACCCAGGAAGGTAAGGAAGTAATGTTTACGTCAGGGTTGTGTCTGTAAGCAAAGTCTGGAACAAACATGTTTGGCAAGAAAAAACCTTCCGATCCTTCAGCTGAGTGGACAAAGACAGGTAGCTTTGTACATAAGCCAAGCAGGGGATGGCTTCATTCAGATAATTCGCTGATGGAAGGCGGAGTTTGCTACGCTGTCAAAGTGAGTTTGTAGTACTAGTACGAGGGATATATTGGGTCTCCGAGATTTTAATAAATATGCTTTTGTTTTGATTAAGACAGCGGTGTTTGTTTTAACGTGACTAAGAAGTTCGCTTCAAAATGGACTTTGCTGCCTTCGAGTCACCATAAGTATCCATCAAACCAGGGATCGATGTTCAAATCAATTGATTGTTCGAGTCACCAAATTAATCTGAATATTACTTCTTCCTTCTCAGTATGTTGGCTGTTTGCAAGTTTTAAAGTCCATGCGAACTCTGCCTTATGATCTTCGACAGCAAGTAACAAGGTATGAATTCAAACTGAAAAAAGCAGGAATTAAGTCGCACATCCGTAGGAAGCCGTGATTATTAACTGCTTAAATTAAGACTTACTTTATATGGCTGTGCAAAATTGTGTTTGCTTACAAATATAACTGCCGGAATGCGTGAATAATGCTTTAGAGATTTGAAAGTTACAAATAAGGCGGGACTTTAAATATTTTTCTCGTGAGGAAACACGTCAAATGCGGGCTTGATAGAATCTTTGTATGTTAGAAACCAACTAATCAATTTCCATTGCTTAATTGAATTGATCGCCATGCAATTACGATTACGGGCTCATCAAGAAATTAAATAATCAGCTTTTATAAAATGATTGAGCTACTATGCACGCTCTCATTGGTTGACAGGTGTGTTTAGATGAGAGTATGTAAACACAGTTGTGACGTTTTAGCTTCGTGCATATTTTTGAGAATTATTTTATAAAAGCAATAGAACACTTTTTCCATGATTACATAGCCTCATCTAAACACTCGGGGGTTGGGAGAATTCTCGTAAGTTATGCAAACCCAAGACATAGTCGAGGGTTTGCCTAACTGTCTTGAATTCTCCGAACCCTTCCCGTGTTTAGATGAGGCTATGTAAACACGGAAAAAGTGTTCTATTGCTTAATTTGGGTATTATCATGCATGGATATACCCTGGGCATCAGAGGGGTTTTTTTTGGTGATGAAGCCACTAGTGCACCCAGGGTAGCATGGCCAGGCCTTGTTTTGTTTTCATGTGTTTTAGTTTATTATGTTTATTGTCTGGTACAACAGGGAGGCCATCTTGAGATGTTCTGAAGCGGCTGGTTATCAGTTAGGAAGAAGAAAAAAGGTACAGTGTGCAATGTTTGATCCAGCTTTTAAGATAGCTGTTCTTTTCCTGTGTGTTTATTTTCATGATACCTTATTTGGCACCCTCATAATTAATCCATCAATCAAATGTCTACATTCAAATCATATGCTGGCACAGTAATTTGCAACATACATGAAGGAAAATAATTGCCAACCAGCCAGTTTGGGGTCATTCCATGATATTGATACAGTACAGTATGTCAAAACTCATCATGCAAGTCCACACATATAGGCCACCAAAAGTTGCCCCATGAGGTCAAAGTCCTAATGCTATGATACCTCCCCCACCCCCTTCCAAGTAACCTAAGTTTTCTGTAGTCCCCCGAATCCCCTCAGAAATATTCATAGAAGAGCAACCACCTCACAAATGGCTTTCATAGCCCTTCAAAAAATCTTGTCAGTGGGGGAGGGGGGGATATAAAATGAAATGACCCTTTTTAGGTATCAACATAGTCATTGTTTTGATTGAGTGGAACATTATACTGGTATGTTTGATATAATTGTACAAAATTACCCCTTGTAAATTAATGCCACAAGGGTTATTTGTTTTTCATTCATTAGCCAGGCCGTGTAGGTTCAGAGCTGGAAAGAAATTAAATTGATATACAAAAGAAATTCTGTTCTTTCCAACAGGCTGCAAAGAACATACAGAAACTTTTAGGAGGTAATAAAGTTTTAATGATCTATTGATTGTTAATCATTTGTAAGATTCTTTTACAACAGTTCAAAGTGACTGTACTATTATACTGTACTGACACATGATTGTGAATATATGGTCCTTTGCTCCAAGTACATTACATATACATGCAGCTTTTTGTAGCATTATCAGGGCTGTAATTAAGGGCAGTACTCCATAACACCTACATTGTATTATTGAAAAAGAAATAAATAAATAAATAAGTAAATAAATAAATAAATAAATAAATTAATTAATTAACACTTGTTATGGCTGAGTATGCCTAAGGAACCCTTGATGTTACTGTGAACGTGCCTGTTGTTGATACCATTTATCCACAAAGCAGCAAGTTTGTTACGGATGTGAAGACCATGGCGACAGGTGCCTCAAAACTTAATGAGAGCTGTGCACATGATTATATTTTTGATGTAACTAGGAATTATATATAGAACATGTCTTTTTATTATATAAAACTCAGTGGTTTACTGAGTGGTAACAAATTGATAAAAATGATATCCCACATGTGAGGATATCATTTTTATCCACATATGTGGGAATATCAATTTTGATAACATTTTTGTCCCTGTAACTGCACTTAAATTTGTTAGTGTATGATCAAAACATCTTTGGACCTTCTTTGGAAGTCTTCGTCAATCTTTGGTTATCTTCAGAAATCTTAGGAAAACTTCAGAAATCTTTGGAAAATGTTCAGAAACGTTTGACTGGCCTTCGGTCAAATCTTGGAAAATCTTAGAAAAGTGGTCGGAAATCTTCTGAAAATCGCCAAAAACATTGTTATGTATTGTGAGAATTTTATATAATAAAAAGAAAATTACATGGTTGCTTGGCAATATGAAGTCATCTAATCATGTTGAAAAATATTTCACTTGTTCGCCATGCTCACTGGTGAAATATATTTTAATCACTCGCAGATAAATTTTGTATCTCCGCGTGGCCATGTAATATCCTCTTTATAATCATTGATAACAGTGTCTACTGGTATATGTACATTGTTAAACATATATTTATTGTGTGACTATTTTATAAATCATTATACACATATGTTTGTCGTTAAAGTAAAACTCTAATTCACTTAACACTCCTAACTTTCTAGTTATTTGTTAGGAAAAAGGAATAGCTCACTTGAATACTACAGCTGAAATTGCATTTTGTTTGTCTGAATGTTATTTAGAACTCCCTGGAATGGTTAACTCAGGTTGTACTGTAAATATGACTGTGTCATCACTTGGTATAAAGTTAACAAGTATTGAAAGTGGTAGAGTTATCTTGACTCATGACATGCAAGGAATTTCATTTGCTAGTGGTGGGGAAAAGGTAAGTTGATACTTTAAACCCTTGAAACCATCTTGGAATGAAATCCAAGTTATAGTAAAACCTTGTTAAAGAACCACCAATAGGCCATACTGTTGGTGCTATTGATCCCAGATATCTGTTGAACTGGCTTATTTCTCAGGCTGTTTTGTGCACTGTTGGTTTCATTCACATGATTTAAAAGTGATCACATGATAACAAACATCTCTTGGTGTGGATGGATTTTGCACCTGTCAAAGTCTTCTCTGTAACATATCTTGGATAGCATCTTACTAGAAAGTGTGAAACTCAACAAACTTGCAAAGAAACTGTGAAGCAACTTCCCCAATGGCAGATATTCACTCATCACATGATCATGAAAATTCATCATCACGAGTTCAGTTGTTTTTAGTCACATGAAAAACCAATAGTGCATGCAACAGCCTAAAAAAAGCCATTTCAACAGACGTCTGGGATCAATATTATCTGCGGTAATAGAGGTTTTCATGTTAATTTAAGATTTAAATAATGATACTGGAATTGGTTTATCATTGTAATCATTATAGTTATCATTAATTAAATGCTGAAATCCCCATTAAATCCTGTTTGAAGTGCAGTGAATACAAATGACTCATTTATCTCTTAATGAAGGGAGTTTGAAAGCTCATTTATTGTATTTTCTCAGTATGCACGTGAGCATTTAGGAGAGTGTTTATATAAAGAAACTACAGGTGGAAAAATGGAGAGGGTTGGGCAACTTGACAAAGAACGTAGAGGCTCAGTACTCCAAGAGGCTGTTGATCATATGAATGGATTCGTCAGACACACACATTTGGCTTTCAGATAACTAATTGTCCAGATGAACTTTAGTTTGGGTGAAATAAGTAGCCATTACTACTAAATGAGGGGTTTGTATTGACAGGATTTTCATACTTACAAAGAGTTGATCCTCACCATAAGCTGTGCTCAATCTACCTGAGTCAAATATTTTTTGCTGCTTTGTGCTCCTAATTGTGCAAATAACTAAATATAAATTTAAGTTAAGTCAAAATTCAGTCACATGATTTTCAGTTTCTTCTCATAGGACTGTATCGATATGATAGGATATGTGGCTAAAGATTCTGCCAATGGAAGAGGTTGTATTTAATGTACTTGTTTAACTATAAATTAACAAGTGATTTAAATGTGGAGTTGTATTTGATATAATCCAAACCCGTCTGTTTCTGTTTGAGACCTACATGTATGAGGTTAAGTAACAGTCTGTTTAACATTAAATTAATGTTTGTATTTGTGTTGGCTCATTCAGTTACAGAAAGCACCTTTAGTTAAATATAATCATTATGACTGCAAGGATGCTCTTGGAAATGAATGTGAGAAATGGTACCCTAGGCTAGTACATTATTTGAATTTAGTTGTTTAATTTGACAGGTTGAAACTCCAAGCAGTGATTTAAAACTGTCAAAAACAAAAAGAGAAAATATCAGGAAGTCACATTGAACTATTTTAGCCACAAATGAATGATTAAAACAGGTTGTGTCGCCTGTAGCATTGTAGTAACCAGAAAGTATTTTCCTGCAGCCTGTTTTGTGGTTGACTGTGGAGGAGGATTAGCTTATGATGTTATTAACACCATTGGTCAAGCTTTTGAGATTCGTTTTAAGATGTTTCTACAGAACCCTCCACTTGCTACTGAAGTGCCTGAAAGGTAAATTTAACAAAGATGCTGTCAGTACTAGTTAAAAAGGAAACACTAAGTAGTTGTCCATGTCTTGTTATGAAGCACTGCAACATACAGTGATACTGGATTTGAATCTGACGCAATCCAAGAGCCTCACCTCCCCTTAGGGGGTAGGGGGAACTCCCACATGAAAAGGACGGGGATGCTCGTTGTACCTTTTAGGGGTTAAGAAATGATTTTGGTACCTCTGTGTGTTCAGCCTAAAGAAGTCACAGGAGCTTTCTTGGTATCTATTAGGGTATAATGAACGACTTATATTAAACAGGATTGAGATTTAAAGAGCAATGCTTTCAGAATAACTTTACAAGTGGAAGGTATTCAAAGCAATGGTCTTTGTTGCTATTAAAAATAATGAAAGTGTCAGTTACCGGTAATGCATTGGTTTAGAATTGGTACCTCTTAGGTGTGAAAAATATTTCAAACCACGCTAACAAAACAGTTTCTAACAGGCACCCCAGTCCTTTTTATGCAGGGTTCCCATCCTGGCCTTGTCCCCCCAGGTTTTTCAAGGCCATCATCTACAAACAAAAACGTACACACTCCAGAAATTTCACTTATAATAATTATTATATTAGTCTAGACAACTTGGAGGTGAAACAATTTATTCTATCTTGTGAATTTGTTTTTAGATTTTATGATAATATTATCACTTTTACTGATTTGGAGCCATGTAGTTGTACATGTAGTTTCTTGGACACCCAAAATGTTACAGTATCATGTCGGCCAGAAGTCATATTATCAGACCAGTGATCATAAGTAGCCTGTGAATGATATTTTCTCATGGTTCCCATTGGGAAAACAGACCAGAGTGATGAGAGGCGGAATTGTACTTGCACAAGGTCATGAAGAGTTTTGTTGTTAGGTTTTCAGAGACAATATTTGAAGAGAGTGAGGACCACGCTTATGAAATGGAGTACGAGGAACCAAAGAATGATGGAATGCATGTTAAGGTACAATCAAACCCTAGCTGTTAATATGGACACCACAGGGACCAGCGAAATTGTCTGGCATAGCAGTTAACAAGGTGTAGATCTAGTGTGTCAACTGGGTGAAGTTATGAGAAAATACATGTAGCTAACCAGGAATGAAAACCACTGGCTACAATTACTGTCAAAGACATGTAAATGGTTTATTTAGTTTTTACTCTGCACCAAATTTAATTTTTTTCAAGAATTTCTAACCATTCATAGATTTTGTAGTTAATCCCATATATGTGGTTCTTACAGCTTGCAAGCTGAATGAAACTCCTGAAAGAAGTGGCAACAGACTTCTGCTAAAGCCTAAAGAAACAATGCTCTATAAACATTATGTTCTTTCAAGGAATTGAAGTTTGGAATCTATTAGCACAGTAGGACACACACCAAGCCATGGGCTTTGGGCCTATCATTTCTTTCATTACACATTGTACTTACTTACAGTTTTACATGTATCAAGTTGAATAATCTGCTCATCTCAAAGTCATTGCTAATTATTTAGTTTGATTTCATCATCAGCCATCTGGTGCATATGAATCACCCATGGATCCAAAGCCTGTAGGGTACATGACACTCAGAAGCACAACAACTGACGGATTAAGTGACTATGACAACCCTAATGACATGAAAAATTCCCATGGTTATGATGTTCTTCACATGAAAGGTTCCCACGGCTACGATGTTCCTAAGGGATCCCTTGTGGGAAATGAAATGTCTAAAAATCCCCAGACTGACAGACATATGCCTGGTAAGGTTTGTAATGATATGCACCTTATTATAGGTGTATAGAATGTAAGAAAACAAAACAAACACTGAAGGATGTTTCATACAATGTTCTATGATTGTAATTAACAATTATTCCACTAATGTGCATTGAATATGAGATGATAGATAGCCAACGAGGTCAGGTGCACAGCGCCGAGTTGGCTTTAATCATCTCATATCCAACAAGCGCGAGTGGAATAATTGTTTTATTAAAAACTGCCCCCATAATATAGAAAACTAAACTAAAAAATAAAAACGTCCCAAAAAATCACGCGTACGCTTACTATATTTGTAGAGCATGGTGTAATGGCTCATAACCCATGATGGCTCAGCCAATGAAAACTCTCATGTTATCCAGTGATCCAGTTTTTAATAATATCATTTCGATGACAGTAATTATTAAATATTAAGGAAAATAGTGATTATATATAACTACAAACATGTTTGCCGTGCCTGGGTAGGGATGGTACTCTCAGAAAAATTGGGTGGGGGTGTGTTGCCCACTTCCCAAAACCCTTACCCTCTTGAGGACCAAGGCTTTTGTTGATGGTCTGGTAGATAATGATGAAAAAACTAGTTTCTTCTCAAAAACATACCCAATTTAAGACTAGAATGCAAAAACTATACCCTGTTTGAGACCAAAATGGTCAAAATGGATACCCTATTTCTGACCAAAATGGCTAAAAATGGTACCCTTTGGGCTGCACATACCTGTAAAGCCCATATAAGGCAGTACTCCCTTCTGGGTGTTGTACACAATGTTGTTTATATTTTCCTTAAAGCAGGAGAGGAGGGCAGGCTCATTTCCTAAACAGGGTCTGATACCCAAGCTTATTAAACCTGTGTCATTTTCTTCACTAAATTAATGGTACCATTATGATCTCAGTTTCAGATGGTTATGATAGACCGTCAGTACAGTCCAATAAGTCTGGTAGCAGTAATGGCTTGAGCCAGAGTGGTAGCCTGATGTTTGCTGCTGGGGCTTGTTATGAGAATCCTAATGGTTTAGGTTTCTACGAGAATCCCCTGGCTGCTCCAAAGTTACCTGAGAGGAATGACAGCTTGGAGAGACATCCAGGTGACTTGCTCGACTCATCGCTGTATGACAACCCATCCTCTCCGACCTCTGGATCAGGTAATGAATGATTTAATTGTTTCTGCCTCAAAAAATGCGGTAAATCCTCGCTAGCAGCCATTTAAAATGTGCCAAAGAAGAAGTTTCCCTCCCAGAAGATGTGAAATATGAGTTAATATGAGCCTCTTTCATCGCCAAACTGGCTAAAGGTGTTGTTTCAAAAACCCAAATTTTAAACCTTGTTGTAGAATGTTGGAAGATGTTTTTTGTCGATGTGGCACGAGAAAGCATTGCATTATTTTAGCCTGGTATGTCTGTGGACTCTTTCCCATACGCATAACAGGAAAGAAGCTTTGAATAAGACTCTACTGAACATTTGAGAAAAACTGAAAAAACTTTTGACATTACCGGTTCCGATTCGAACTCTTCCCTCAGCTTTTCTGATAGCCAGAGGATGAAATATGTATACAGTAAACAGGGGAGTCTGTAACGTGAAAAGTTCTTGCAAAGCTGTGTTTTCTTTGCCGTTCTTGGCTGAGCCACCTGGCGCGCGTTGTGAGCTGCGGCTATCATTTTGGCGGGAAAACTTAGATCCCGTGATCCCGTGATGAATGCCGGGAAACTACTTGGAGTACTTTCTACCAGTGACGGGGGACCGGTGGGATACTGCTGTCTAGCTTCATGATTGGCTATATTCTGTAATGCATGGGATAAATACGTTCGAGGTCTGTACTGTAACTTACGGACCGAGTTCCCCCTCCTCCCTTATCAATTATGGCCCAAGCGCGATACTCACAGTAGGGACCGAAAAAATGAGATTGGTTAACTGTCTGCATAGGAGAAGTGTCCGCCTTTATTACAGCGATTCCCGTATTGCATGAGGGCGTTGCCCGTATACATATATATGGTAATCGAGAACTTTTAATTTCCCCCTAGAACAAAACTGGGCAAAATTTGATGAGGACATGCCGCCTCCTACTCCACCACCAATGGCGACGAATCCTGATCACGAGGACTACCTAACTCCGCGTCCCGCCCCGAGGAAACCTCCACCCAAACCTAAACCATATGCCGCGAGCAAGGCAGAGAAACTGCAGCAAGAAGCTGCAGCCGCAGAGGGTACGTTACCACTGTGACATCGCTTTTGACGCGTGAAACTTCGTCGTTGTACTCAACGATGACTATTGGATTCACATTTGCTAAAATTCTCATTTCGCGACCTGCATTTGAGTCAAGTTAATAAATTGTCCAGGGTTGTCATTTGCTGCTCTTTTAGAAAAATAAGTCATTTCATGCGTTTTCTTAATACTGCAGTTCTCAAGTCCATTCCTCTCGAGTCTGAGGTTTGGTACCATGGCTCTATGACCCGTGCTGAAGCAGAACTGCTATTGGAAGACGAGGGGAACTTCCTTGTGAGAGAAAGTAAATCAAAAGCTGGCCAGTATGTTCTTTCTGGAGTTCAAAATGGACAGCCTCGACATTTGTTGTTGGTCGACCCTGAGGGCAAGGTTTGTACAGTTTGTTGTTACTTACGTTTACAACAGAAAGCCGTTGAACTCGAACCTTTGGGTTGTTCTTAGAATGTCCCGATTCACCCACGAGCAATCCCGAATCCCGGACACTAACGAAAATTACCGACAAAAAGTTACCGTTATTCTTGAAACAGCATTTTATAGAGTTGTCAGCTCAAACCAGTTTCATTCATATTTTTGCTGTTATTCGCTCATTCCAGGTACGAACAAAAGATCGCGAGTTCCCAAGTGTCCAAGAACTCGTTGCGTACCATATGAAGAACTCTCTACCAATCATATCATCAGGGAGCCAGGTCACAATAACTCATCCTGTCCACAAACATTAACTACAGCTGTTTCTGTCATTTGCTATCCGATTGCATAGACTGGATTGCAAAGCAGACCACTGTGAACTCCAAAACTGTAATATTTTTGTACATGATGTTTTAGAGGGGAAGTTACATGGGGGAACTGGATTACTGGTAGAGACTTACAGCTCTCTTCAGTTCCTCGTTTCAACTTCTCATCTGCACGGGTTCGCACGGTAGCGTGTTCGTGGTCGTTTGTTTTGAAAGGTTTTGTAGTAGATCTATTAAGTCCAGCTAACGGGGCAAAAGCTACTATGTAGTAAGTTTATAGAAGGGGGCCCGGCTTTAGTACAAAACCAATAAGTCAGTGATTTTTTTTAAATCGTACTTTGCTAATGATGAAAAACAATTTATATTGAGCCGGACCATGATTAACCCCTTGTCACGCCACTGGAAGTGACATAGTAACGGTGCTTGTGTAGTGTTATTGTACAGTTGGAAAGAGAGATTATCACAACATGGGGCAACAAAGTTTTGATTGTAGAGCGTTTTCTAGTGCCACTGTAACGACGGTGTTAATGCTTAATTACCTCATAGCCAGTAATACAAGTAGCGTTAATAAGGTAGGAAGGAAGAGGTTTTTGTGGAGTAGTGGTAGAGTTTTATAAAACGCACTTACTATAATCGAAAAGTTTCTCCACCAGGTGAGTTATCGAGGGATTTGTGGTTATCTAATTGGTCATACTTGTCATATAAAGTTGGTTTCAAAATGATTACTTCCCCCGTTTTGAATTTGTTATATAAAGAGAAGTTAGCAATAAGTGACAATAAGCAATATTTTTTTCACGGTTATTTTTGTTGTCGTATCTGCATCATAATAAAATCCAACGTGAATGTGAGACAAATTCTCAAGGTTCTGCACAAAAAAAGCCCTTTTCACGGTTAAAGTTTGTCATTTGCATTACAATATAATCTAACTTGTATGTGAGGTGATTTCAGGGAATTTTCTAGTTTCTGCCCGAAATTTCCCCGCAGCCACCGTCAATTGCATTGTAATGCAATGAGAAAAGCTTATCGTAAAAAGGGTTATTGCTTCACATCCACATTGAATTTTAGTATACTGCAAATAGGACAAATTCACCGTGAAAATAGCTACTGTAAAAGAGTGAAATTTGTAAGAATGGAGGAGATACTTTATCAAAGTTGAAAAGCGACTTAAAGCTACATCCATGATAGAAAATGGTCCTTTTCTGGTCGAAGATTTCTTACGATTTGCGATGGCATTGTTTTTCTTGTTAAAAATATTAGTGTTAACTTCCGTAAACTAAGTCCATGGTCTAATATACCGATTCAGCACTTGAAGAAAGATATCATTTTTCCCAGTGAGTCATCCCTTTCTCCCAGAGACAGAGCCCTTCCCTAAAATAACCAAAGTAAAGCTTTGAACAAATGTCAGCCCAGGACTTAGTTGGGAATTTTACGGTTTTTGTAATTAAGAACAATTTATAGCAATGAACTTTTGAAATTTTATCTATAGTAAATAATTTGCACGCAATTTACACAACATACCGACTTTGTGGAAACTGGATCAATTGATAATGTGAAATAATGTGGTGTTTTACATGCAGATATTTTTTTTGAGAATGAAACCAGCTAGCCCTGGTTTGTAGATTTGTAGCTCACAATTGAGAATATTAATAGCTGGTCTATTATTTTAGACGAAAGTTACAATTCAATGTTCTATTAAATGTCCAACCTTTCTTTCATACCATGCAGCAGTTCTATTATTGCATGCTGCTATTTTCGTAGAAAAATCAATTTGGACCAAAAGTGCTCAGGTCCACTCCGAAGGTTTTCCTTTTACGTGAGACAACAGTATAAGGTTTTAAATGTGGAACCATCGTCTCAGTTACGACAGTGGTCACGCTTGTTTCTGTGGAAGGAGTAGAGCCCCCGTTTCCGTCTTTATAACGAGGATTTATTCCTAAAGCGAATTCTTCACTGTCACAAGTGTTTCAGTTTTGTTTTTGGAAAGAAATCACATTTCATGGCTTCTTCCCTAAACAAACACAGTAACATGAAAAGAAATCACTAAAATACATTACGTCAACTACGTCATCTTACAGTAGTTTCCTTGTAAAATAGAACACGTGATTTGTTAATAGAAGTAGTAAATAATTGTTATAATAGAGAGAAGTTATGCAATGTAGTCAGGGGAAAACAGGTTCTGGGCCAAGCTCTCCAAGAGTTGGACCCTGATTATCCCATAGGAAAAGAGCATTTTAAGATGATGAGAGTTCAAACTACTTACGGTATTACGGTACGTAAGAAAGTAACAGTTGCTATCGAAGTTACGAAAGGTATATCATGGCAACAACTTGAGAAGCTGCCACAGTTTTTGTACTTTTTAGATCACTCTTCCGCTATTTAAAATAAAAGCGTTTTTAAAATCCGTTGTTTTGCCTGGTGTTAAGAACAAAACATCATCCTCCCAATCTATCATTTGTACTTCCCTGTTCCCATCCTTCCATTTTCTTGTAATTAAAGAACGTTAAAGAATTGCACTACAACGAGGGCATTTCTCCAAAAGAAAATTCAAAGGCGAGTCTCCTGGTTTTTTTTTCGTTTTTTTTTTTCTTTAAATCTGAAATTTGGTGGTACAGTTAAATTCCGAAAATTTGCTTTTCTTTTCTCTTCCCCGAACGAAAAAAATCCCATTCTGGAAAACATGAAATTTTGAGAGTTTATAATATATTTTTTTTTATTGAACTAAAGGTGTTGATCCCGTTCCTATATCCTATATCTCTATGACGCCTTTAGCGAGCCAACAATATCTCGAAGTAACATTATGCAGTCAATTTGGAGATGCATTTATTTGTAGGGTTTTGTGTTGAACTTGCCGATATAAGAAATTCTTTCATTTCATCCCAGTGTATAAGTAATGAAGTTTTCAGCCATCGGTGATCGCATTCACGGGGAAGGACTTAGTTTTCTTAATTGATGATTGACTGATCTTTGTAGGACGTTCGTAGATCCATTATAATGTCTTCTCCAGAATAATCTTGGAAGGCTTGGTTTGCAAGATTCGTTCAACTTGTTGTAAGCCACTGCATTATCCCTTCACAAGATTCCTGTGATATGAAGCTTTGAATGGTTTGAGGCTCTTGCACCTATTACTAACCATTCAGAGCCGAGATGCTGTTCTGTCGACCAATCAGGTTCCAAAACGACCTTTATGACAAAACACCGCAAGGTGTTCCAAAACACATGGCGTGCATAGTCAAGCATGACAAATTTATTCTAGGTTTTTTCTTCCTCTTTTATTTTTGTTTTATTATTTTGTTTTGCTGGCTATGAAAGTAAAGACGGCTTGATACTGCAATAAAAAAACCTCAAAATAATAGAAAATCGACAAAAGGGGAATGATAAAGTAAAGCGAAACAAGGATGGTTTAGATTGGGGAAATACGAACAGTGACTCCGTGACATGGCCTTTCGAGCTCCGTTTATGACAGTCCTCGAGAGCCACTAGGTTCATCAGATTTCACCACAAACAGGTACGTACAAAAGGCGATTTCACCACATACTGGTACGTTTAAAAAAAGCAAAGTCTAATTCTAGGGAGCGGAGGATCCGACAGGCGAAAAGCACTCCCACCAGATTTGTTGACGGGCATCTAGACTGCATTGGCTGAAGTGTCTTCCGAAAACTCAAATTTCTGAAATGCTTGCGCAAGAGCAAACATTTTCTTTAACAACTATGTGTAGAACTCCTTCAGAACTTGGATGGTTTCCTGCCAAATTCGAAAGGCTCGATGTACAATTCGCATTCCTCTTTACTTGTAGCCCTGAAAAGTTGAGAGGACCTTTTCCTTGCTGAGACAGCCGCGAAGCCGATGTCACGAATCAAAGGCGATGCGATATACATCATTGTAATGAGACACGAAGTGTACTTCAAGTCCTTCTTTGACAAACTCCGGTAAATCAGCGAAGTCTTTTCGATTGCCCTCGGGCAAAATGACACAATTAACATCTGCACGGCGAGCCTACAACAGGCAAAGAGAAAAAAGAAAATCATCAACTGAGAGGTACTGTCTTGGTGTAAGGTGGAGAAGTGATAGGTGGAGGCAGCGTGGCCGAGTGGTTAGGACGCCGGACTTGAAATCTGGAGGTCGCGGGTTCAAGTCTCGCTCTGACCACTAAGCTAGAGTTGTTTTTCGGTAGACCCTAGTTCAACTCCTCGGTCATGTTCGTAAATAGCCAAGTGGTCTGCCTCCTGCCAGGTGGGAGTTTTTAGCCTATTATGTTTAAATGAAATATGTCTTCCTTTCAGTTTCAGTGGCATGCCTGAGAATAATAATAATAATAATAATAATTTATTTCTAGCGCATTACATTAAAAAATCTCAATGCTCTTACAGAATAAAAATGAGAAAAACGATAACGAAACCAGCTAGTTGTAACTAAGCGCATCTATCACTATAAACATTCAACATTTAAGAACAATTTTTAACATTTTAACAGAAATAACATTAAAGAAAATCTACGGACACCACTTAGGAGAATTGATGTTTTGAGAACCGGCATGAAACGAGTACACAAGTCGAGTAAATCCAACATAAATACAAAATTCGTTACTCACCGCAATTATCTTTTCTTTTATTCCACCAACGGGCAAAACCTGAAACGTTAAAGAAGACAGTAAAATATACACTTAAAAAACCCAGCGTGATCAACATTTAATTTCCTCTTACCTCATCAGTACATATCCAGCACACAGGTGATGAGAATAAAGAAAATCATCACCTAAATAGTATTGTTTTGATGTACTACTTAATTCTTAGGACTAAAATTTAAAGAAATCTAAGGACGTCGCTGGGGAGAATTGCTTTTTCAATCTTGGGACAAAGGACAAAGAGAAAGAAAAGCTCGTACCTTTCCAGTAAGAGACACCTCACCAGTCATGGCAACATTCTGCCTAACGGGTTTGTCGGTCGCCAAAGACAGCAGCGCTGTGATGATGGTGCAGCCAGCAGATGGACCATCTTTAGGAGTGGCTCCCTGTAATCAGCAAATAAAGTACCCCAGATGTTACTCCTTTCACTCAGTTACAATCATATTAGCCTTTTCGAAGCCCTCAGACTGTGATGAAACGACGGGTGAAATTACCTTACAAATGCGTCTTTTCTCGTTCCTACGTTCATTAAAACCGTTCTCCACAACTTTAGACCCTTGAACGGGGCACAAAGTGTTTGGGAAGCCAACTATGGCCATGAAACTATCAAGATACTACACGCTGAATTTTCTGAATATCCAGGAGAAAAAAATATTCCCTTCTCGTGTGTCCTACAACCTGATGCAACCGAGTTTGGATTAAAGCATTATCACTCTCGCAGCACGACCAAAGTAAACAAAGTTCAACAACAAAACCAAATTATACGAAGACATGATTGATCCTCGCAGTTATACACACAACTTGAGCAGTTGTGAAATTAAAGCACGTAAAAAAAAAATTCAGGCTTGAACGGGATTCGAACCCATGACCTCTGCGATACCGCTGCAGTGCTCTACCAGCTGAGCTATCAAGCCATCTGGGAGCCGGTCACGTTGTGGGTTCGTAATATACTCGTAGATGGTAAAGAATGCAAGTGAATATATGACAGATCATATGTTGAAACTGCGAAGAAAGATATGAAGACTTGCTTAAGCTCTGTGTACAACTGCGATAACCAGTCAGGTCTTCATATCTGTCTCCGCAGTTCATATATATAATCTTTCATATATTCACTAAAAAAAAACCAAACTATGTTCGCTAAACTAGGGTTTTGTGATCTGTCACTAGACTTTCTCAAAGTCCGTTTCTCTTAGAAGTAGAAGTAGACTTGTGGGCAAGTCTAATCTGTCTGTCACGTGTGACAGAAAAACTGCTACTACCCAAAGTGTGTGTGTATCGTGACCTACCTCTGGAACATGAAGATGAATGGAAGCGCGTTTGAAAAAGTTATTCTTTGGATCTTCTTTTGACAAAAATAACTGAAAGAGAAAAGCGCGGCCTTCTTTATTTAAATTTATGAGAAAAATTCTTCGAGAACACAAACAAGTTCTTTATTGTTCAAGATGTTAGAGTGTTACTCAAGTTTATAATCGTAGGTAGGACAAGTCTACATACGATCCAAGTGGCCCATCAGGCAGGAGCTTATCTCCGGTTTCTGTAGCATGAAGCAACTAGGAGTATTTCTACTCCCCTCCTGGATGGGATGTTTGTCCATCGCAGGGTTACCCCCAGCATTAAATTCTTCGGTACCCATTTATACACCTAGGTGGAGAGAGGCGCTGTGAGAGTGAAAGGTCCTCACTAAGGACGCAACACAATGTCCCCGGCCAGGGCTCGAACCCGGACCGCTCGATCCGCAGGCCTGCGCTCTGATCATGAGGCGACTAAGGCCATAATTATCAACTAAATATCATCATAGCGGGACACAAACCTTAGCAAATGTGTAAGCAATATGTGAACTTTCCCTCATCACATCTCCCAGCTGGCCTGTTAGATCAAGTGACGGATGGTCCTTGTCATCGTCGTCTTTGGAAAACAAGTCTTTAAGAGAGGTTTCGATATAAAGTGTGGAACCACCTAGAAATAAAATGAATCCAAGAATTAGTGCCCCAATGCATCGACAAGAACCCGGAAAAACCAAGTAAGAGAAGCTTACACAGCACACGAACAGCACCACATGAGAGTACTGCTCAATAGCATCCATTTGAATGATTACATACCAAGATTTCATTTAGGGACTTATAAGTTAGAACCACATTACATGACTGTTTGAAGTTTGAGCACAAAGATCATGTTTAACTGGATATAGAGATTGTCTTACAAATCACTACACAGGGAGGTGTGAGTACGTACCCAACGAAGTCCAAGCCAATCCCATTACCACCCCTGGAGGTGTTTCGTCGTATATACGATCACTGTTAAACAAAGGCTTGCCAACATACTCGTGCAGATTATTAGCTGTTACTTCTACTCCCTCCTCTGTTCCTTGCACTATCCTAAGAGCAGCTTTACGGAATATCTATAGCACAAAAAACATCGAAAAAATCACGCACACAAATCCAACCGGTGCATGTTAAACTACAAGCACTTTCTCTTTTCATATATTGGATAGAAGCGAAAAAAGCTCCAGAACAAGCCGCGGCACATATCTCACGCCATAGTTTTTCCAGTGGCTATTCTTCTCCATTTTGTTTCACTTTGCACAAAAACATATTAAAGAAACACTGAAAATTTTTGTTGCCAGGCTAGATACACAAAGACTTCCTTGCAGTCGTTTTCACAGCCAGTTTTTCTCTCAGGAATGGCTTTAGGACCATAATGTGAGAACAACCCAGGATTTTGGACTGTTATTTCACAGTGTGGTTGGCTCAGGCTGGCTTAAGACTAAACCAAATGGCCAAAGGAAGGACTTCCGCAGGCTTACGCAGATTTTCCCTAAGCAAAAGAGAACCATTTACGTTCCGGACAAAATTACTGACATTTTCTACTAGTCAGCTCTATGTTAAATACTCTTCAGCAAGTTTGTACATCTCATTTCAGATATCCAGACCCTTTACGATACCTAGAAGTTCAACAACGAAAACGCCATGGACACAGTGGCAATGAAAATAGTGTTCCCATTGATTTAATTTTCCAGTGCTGGTGTTTGTTCACCCGCAACAAACTTAGCACACTCGGCATCATTTCTTCAATTTTCCTTCCCCTTGTGTTTTAAGTTCAAATGCCCAACACCTTTGGCCTGTGACTGCTACATAAACACACACCACATAATACTTGATACCATTATTTGCTCATCACGGATAACTACCTTTTCTATATGTTTCTGTAGATTTCTCACGCCACTCTCTCTGCAGTAAGATTTGATGAGAAGAGACAGTGAAGGGTCGTGTATCGCAACTTGCTCTTCTGTAATACCAGCACTCTTTCTTGCTTGGGGAATGAGATACGTCTGAGAAAAATAATACGGCAGTTTTATTAGTTTAGTTCTACACAGTGATAAGCATCTTTGCAACAGCTCTCACACTTCTCAACTGCTTTCTAGCATCTATCCAGTCAAAGCTAGTCGGAAATAGTGAACATAATTTTTTAGATGCTACACACCTTAGCGATTGCTTTCTTCTCATCTTCCACATATCCCGACACGTTTATAATTTCCATTCTGTCTTTCAAGGCACCAGGAATTGTGTCCGTGATATTGGCTGTGCATATGAACAGCACCTGCGACACGAGAGTGCACAGAAATCCTGTCAAGTAACTCTTACAAGAAACTACAAAGTTATAATGTCAATGTCTTAAAGAAGAAAGGAAGGAAGATAGAGAGAGAGGGAGGAAGAAAGGAAGAAAGGTTAGTAAACGTGTAGATCAAACTGTTTTTAGGTTTATTTCTTTACAAACTAAGTTCATACTAAGGATAACACTCTCACAATCACGGAAAACAATAGGCCATTTACAAGTTGTCTCTTGCCTATGTGTGGAAACGAGTCTTTGTGCAAAACAATTCTTATGAAAACGTGTTACAACAACACATTCATTTTCCTGCAAATCAAATTCATTGCCAATTGAAACGTTTCCCACAAAGACTCGTTTAGAAACGGAGGTAAAAGGCAACTCCAAACTCGGAAAAGACTTATTTGAACAAAATCAAAGAGTTTACAAAGTTTGGTTGATGCGTAAGAATTGGTTTTCTTTTTTTTTTTTTTTTTCATTAAACGGAACGCTAGTCTAATTGCTGCTACAAAATAATATAACTTAAGGTTTAAAGTAAATCAACCTAACAGTATGGACCTACAACAGGCACGTCAAAGGTACGTGTGGTTATTAAGTACCTTAGATAAATCCACAGGTACGTCCAGATAATGATCCAGGAATCCAGAATTCTGTTCAGGATCAAGGAGTTCTAATAAAGCGGACGCAGGGTCTCCTTGCACACCACGCCCAATCTTATCCACCTGAAAAAGAATGACACAGTCAAACCTTGGTACAAGACACCTGCTGTTAAAGCAGCCTCTTTGTGATGGCCCAAGTCACACACAAAAACCACAGTTCAACCCCAGATGAGCAGACAACCCTCCGTAAGGTTTGAGTAACACAGGCACCTTGGTCCATTGCAAGCTGAAAAGCATTGTTAAACAAATTACAATCAGTGTTTTAAGTTGCGGCAACGTGTTGCAAGAAGTTGAACTCGTTTCTGCTTCACGCAACATGTTGCGGCAACTTACAACACGGATGGTACCACGAGCAACAGCACTTTTTCTTAACTTACAATGCAAGCTGTAAGGAAAATGTTGCCCATGCTGCTTGGCCTTTAGTTGGCATTTTTTGCCCCCAAAGTCCCAGAGGGAGTCGGCTTATAGTTGTACGAGATAACACTGTCGTTGGCAAACCTTACTTCCGTTCGTTTACTTCTGATTGCTAGAAAGTTCAAAAATCATGTAAAATAAAACAAAGCAACTTTTCGCACTTGGGTTCTATTCACTTTTAGCTGATGGCCAGTATGTTGGTTACTTCAATTGTTCGTCAAGTCTTCTTAATCATACCTCATCAATAAGTATAAGTGGATTTTCTGTTCTGGTCTTTTTAAGACACTGTATAATTTTTCCTGGCATAGCACCAATGTAGGTTCGCCTGAAAAAAACAAAACAAAACAAAATATAATATGCAACATTTAGCAATATACAGTGTATTTGTAGTTGTAAAAATCTTCAACCTCTCTTACAAGTACACTGTACGATAAATCATGGCGACACTTAACAGTAATTTTCAATGATGAGAACAAAATAGCAACAACATTTAATAGAAAGTATTTAAAGTACAAGAAAAAAGTGCTTTTAGGAAGTAGTTAACCACATATGGCGGTTGTGTGAACACAAAATCATATTATCCCTCTGCCTTAAACTACGATTATCAGTTGAATAAGGCACGACAAAAGTTTGGTGACCAATTTGTGTTGCTGTCATGGTAACTTGTCGGCCTTTGACGTCACTGGCAGTAAAGCGCGCGAAATTGCAGGCGATGATATTGTTACCATTGGAAAAGAGGAAAGTTGCCCATAGCAACACTATAAATTTAAGTCCAAAACTTTGTCACCAAAGCTCCGTTGCGCCTTAATCAACTGATAATCGTAGTAAGTCAAAGTAAAACTTAAAACAAAGTGCAAGATGTCAGTGATTTGGCAAACAGTCCACAAAGATAAAAGTGTTATTGACTGACCTATGACCTTTGATCTCAGCTACATCGGTCATGCCCCCAACACTGAATCTGAAGTACTAAAAACAACAAGTACAGCATAAAGAATGGAATTGAGAGTACTACAACATCTATGGAATGCTGAATGGACTGAGAATGAACATGGCAGGATCCAACCTACAGTCACTAAGATAAAGAAAGCATGCATCCATATACACTTTTAGTATAAATCTACTAGCATTCTTCAACGAATACTCCTCTCTGATTGGCTACGCTACTCACTATCTGTGATAGATAGTGAGTAGCGTGATAGAAATCTCGAGCTCATAATCTAATTGCTTAATATAATATGTTGAGTTATTCTCACATTTCGATTGTTTCTTCCTGATGATAAATTGGAGGACGGGTGCATAGACGAAGTCACTAACATTTTTTTTTTGTTTCTTTATTATAATTATACAAAACAAATGGATTCAATGTTGCCATATGTCGTCTGTACAGTACCTGATCGCACGGCAAAACGGAATCTATTTGCTAATTATATAACAAAGCTAGTAAACCTGGCTTTCAAAGCAGTAAATGCAAGTGCCGTCATAATTATATGATGCACCCTAATTGCGTGAGCAAAGTTCACTCTGGTTTTTCTATTGGCAATGTAATAACACAATAAATTGACTCATGCTTTTGACTGTTAACGTATCATCATGTTTTCATACACTTAAGAAGTTTGGAGAACACTGGGGAGGGGGATATATTCTGTAACTCTTTGGGTGGGGGTGTGCTGCTTGGACACTGAAACCCTAACCCTATACCAGTCATACTAGACCATAATCAGCTTGATTTTGCAACCCTATTCTGGACTAGGCACCAAAGACCCCTTCCCTATCCCAGGCTAGCTGTTTTCCACGCAAAAACTTTAATCACTACTGTAGTCCAACATATGCTAACTTAACCAATATCTTACAAAGTCACTTCGGAGTTTCAATTTCTATTATAGAACCCCGAGTAAAGAACCGTGTTCTAGACTAAATTACTTACACACTGGCCATGTTCCTGGTCAATTATACCATATTCTAGACCAAGACTGTCTGATTTCTATACCCTATTCCAGACTAAACTACCTGAAAACCATACCCTTCACAGCAACACATACCCATATAGCTTATATATTAGAGCACACCCCCTGGGGGAGAACAATCAAGAAGCCTCAAGCAACTCTAGATGCATCATGACTCATCGATGCACAATAAAACATGAATCAACAATAAATGATAATCCTTGTCTCTACAGTACCTGTCTATTGAGGGCCCTCGCAATAGACCTGGCAATGCTTGTTTTGCCCACTCCTAAGAAACAGGACATAAAAGAATTAAGGTCAGCCTGTGGGATAATCGTCATGTTTCTGTTCCCTGGAGAGCAGCAGTGAAGCAGCAGGAAGGCAGGGGAGACACCAAAATAGCCAAAAACCCTCAAATTACAAGCACAAGGACAGTATACAGGAGCAAACAACTTGAAATTTCCGTTATGTATTTTGAAATGGATTTTCAAGATCTGGCATTGTGTTTGTTTAGTTTCCCTGTTCTTGTATTATGAAAGAAGCAAAAATGGAAGTATAAACAATAACAGAAAGGAAAATTTATTGCAAGCTGCTTCTTCTTTTACTACTCAAGTTTGTGTTTGCTTTTGTGTAAATGAGGCTGTTATCTTAATCTGGTAAGAAGACAGCATATGATATACAGCATACGTTTTTATACAATGAGACCAGAGTGTATGTCCTGAATTAAATATTACAATGCATGTTTTTGGTTAGAAATTTCTCTACACCAGTTTGACCTTTATTTTCCATTGTTTTCACAAATTTACCACAGTAATGATTTCTGAAACAAAGGTAATTTCAAATTTCAAATTGAAACCCCAACATGTATGTAAATCACAAACCTGGTGGCCCTGTGAAACAGAGGATTTTTCCCTGCACAGATGCATTCAACTGACTTACAGCAATAAACTCCTGTAGAATAATAACAAACATAGAAGGAAAAACGTTTGGGCATCATTTTAGTCAAAAATTGCGGGCAGGAGCAGCGAAGCCACATATATGGAGGATATTACACAGTGGCGAGAAGATAGGAATTTTATGTTCGAGTGGCAAGAACAATGAGATATTGTTCTTGCCACGAGAACATAAAATTCATATCTTGGAGGTATTTTATTAAATAGATATACAGAGGACGGCATTTTTGACGTTTTTCCGAAGATTTCTGACAACCTTCTGAAGATTTCCGAAGATTCTCCAAAACTTGTCCGAAGGTCACACGAACGTTGCCGGATGTTTTCTGAAATTTTCCTAAGATTGCCGAAGATTACTGAAGATCACCGAAGACTTTCGAGGAAGACCCGAGGATGTTTCGATCATTAACCAAAGAATTTAAGTACAATTTAAGAGACAAACTTGACATCAGTGAAATCATCGATATCTTCACTAGTGAGGATATGGAAAATACGCCACCCGAGTCCTGGATGTGGTTTCGTATGAATTTTACGAGTGGTGTATTTTCCAGTAAAACACTCGTGTCTATATAATAAAGAACTCTACACTATAGAACCAGACATGAAATGTAGTTGTAAATAGACACTTAATAGTAATGTGCAATTACAAACCAGTTTAGGGGTAACATTGTTCATTTAAAGTGCCCATAACTTGTTTTCATTTTGTTTTTAACTTTTGCATTTGAATCTACACATCTACACATATTTTGGTGGTGATAATTGTTTTGCGAAAACCTCTTAAGATGACAAAAAGCATTACACAATTCTTGAACTTATTTTGGATAAGACATCTTCCAGGTCTAACAATCTGGACTCATTCACACCTTGCCATCACTAATAATACTGGAGTGCATACTGCAGGGTTGGGTAATGTTGGATCAAAAAGGAGGTAGCATGTAACCAATTCCTTTGTTTGAGCAAGATGCTCTCTAATGAAGAACAGTTGACAGTTCTTCTATTTTTGAGTAGGGAAGGTATAACGAAACACTTAATGACTGGCCCCGTGAGAAACAGTAAGTTTTGTTTCCCCTTGACCCTCATTATTCTGCTCAGGTTTGCCTCAAGGAACACTGAGTGTCTTGGGGAACAAAATTCACTGTTTCTCTTGGGGCCAGTGCTTAGTATTTGACGTATGTAACTCACCAATATTCTGTCTTTAATGTCCTGTAGCCCGTAGTGATCTTCATCTAGTACTTCCCGTGCTTGGGTGATATTGAAGTTCTCCTTGCTGTGAATCCCCCAAGGAATGCTGGTTAACCAATCTAGGTAATTCCGTGTTACACTAGAAAATTAGAAACCCAAAGAGAATTTATTAAAAGAGAATTCACACAGGTGGTTAGCTTTAAGAATGATTCTTGTATTCCACTCTGAGTTTGAACTCTCAGATGAATGAACCTTAGAGAAAAGATGTTCACACTAGCTCCTGAGTACCACTGCCGATGAAAATGAAAAGAACTGTGTATGCTTTGGACTCACTTAAATTCTGATGAATGAGTATCAAGATAGGCTAATTTAGCCAGCTCTTCTTCAATGACTTCTTCGGCATGTTTGGGTACATTTCGGTCTTTGATTCTTTCTCTGAACTTTTCTCCAACAGCATCCTTGTCTTCTTTCTCCAAACCTAGCTCTCTCTTAATGATCTTTAGTTGTTCCTGGAGTAAGTATTTCTTCTGTTGTTTGTTGACTTTTTCTTCCACCTAAACATTATTAAGAAAGTTAATAAACACCAATATGTGCATGGAAGAGCACAGCATAATGGTTGTTAGATCAAGTTGAATTATTTTCCACACAATCACTGTTTTACATGACATCCCCCACCCTGCCTCCCCCCAAGCAACTGAAATGTTTGGCTACACCTTATACACTACCTTTTACAAATGACTCCAGAAGCCAAATGCTGTGTCACCTTACCTCCTTCCCCAGTTTGTGTTGCAGCATACAGACAGCAAGCTCTTTCTTCAGCAGTTCAAGAGTAAGACGTAATCGCACTGGGACCCGTGTCTCTTCATAAACTTCTTGCAGCTGCTGTGTCTCAGCACTGGTCAGTGCAGCACCTGAAATTGACACAAAGACAAAGATCTCACTAGCATCCTAACTGAAGTCTGAAAAACATGATCGAAAATGACATGATCTTCTGGTAAAAGGTTGGGTGAAGCAGCTATCTTTCAGCAGCCCAGCATATGCCTCCAATCAGTGGCAAATCTAACCTATAAACACATCCGACCTTTGTTCAGGTCTAATACATGCAGTTATGTTCACCAGTCTAGAATTTTTTTTTTTTTCCACACAGCAAAGAAACTCTGCTGTAGTGAAAATTTGTTAAGGGTGATGACAATACCAGCTACAATTAACTTGTTAGTTATTCAATGTGTATATTTTCCCTGTTTATGACATGTAACTGCCTCCCAACCCTATGGTTGGTGGGTAACAACCCCTCAATGTAGGCTGACTCTCTAATGTAAAAGAAGCAGGGGTAATTGATCATTGCACCATCTACCTTTTGTGTTTATTTGGCATCTTCTCGGAAGTAGTCAATAGTATTAAGTTCATCACGGACTCTCTTAATTTCTGGTGATTTGGTTTGTTGTTGTCAAAACCACTGATTCTTATTTTCCTTAAAGAGGTCTCCAATGTACAGAAAATCAAAAAACTATTTGGGTTAGGAGAAACAAAAACGTTCAAAAGCTCAAAAGCTCATTCCAATCTCCATGTACTTCATGTGATGCTGCCTAAGTTTTCTGATCTTTTCCCTTGTATCCCTACACACAATCCATCACTTGTCAAAATAACAACCTTATCATCAAGGTTTTGGATTCTCCTTACCAAAATCAGCTAAATGAACAGGGTTGTCTGCCACTTTCTTGCCACCTTCCATGAGCTGAGCCAGGAACTCTTTGTACAAAGGATTCAGTGAAATAATATCTCGAATTGTCTTGATCACTTCAGCAGCCAGAGCCTGTTGATAACAAAACAAGATCAAAACTTTTTACCATTTAATGCCAAAGTAGTCTTTCTATATCACTTCACTTTCTTCACTTTTAACCATAAGCTCCTGGGGCTATTGGGCCAGAGTCTTTCCTTGTGGTACCAATAAATCATGCAGGCAGGAAATGATATCATACTGTGATCATTGTTTGAGAATCTAAGATCACAGAATTTCAATATAAAATCCTAAACTGCATTGTCTTAACAAATGAGAAACTAAGTTGTACTGGTCTGGTTGAATTACCAAACAGTACTTTCTGTGAAGAGGTTATGGAATCTGTCAAGCATTTACTTTTCTCTTGTAGGACATCTTCAGATTAATTTTATGGAAACACCTCTTGTCCTGGCTAAGAGGTAACAACGTTCCTGTTGAAATAACTAATGAGTCAGATTTGATCTTTGGAAAATTTGATATTGAAAATGACTTTATTTTAATTAATCACATTTTGTTGTTACCAGGTAAATTTCATAACTACTTCAGGAGATCTCTGAATAGCTTACCCAAACTTGGAGGCTTTACAGTTAGATTAAGGCAGGTATACAATATCGAGCTCCATATTGCCAAGTAGGCAAAGTTAATTAATGCAGTAATATAACAGATAACTCAATAGCCTTGTGTAGAAAAGCCTGAAGTCACAGTTTTTCACCATACGGACTGACCCTAAGCCGGCAAATAACATGTTTATTTTTTTTTCTACAGTTAGTTGGTTTTACAGATTACAAATGGGTTTGTTTACGCAATTTTGTCATTGAATTGGCTTGTCTGCCGTCTACTAATGATTTTTAAAAAACTCTTTGCAACAAGCGAGTAACTCAGAGAGTAGACAAAGAGAGATGTACTAATAAGAACAGATTTTCTTTGAACTACTTTACGTAAGTTGCATTTATTTCACCAGTTAAGTTCTCCAAAATTGTTTTTGCGGTGAGAAATTTCCTGCGAAGTTTGAAGTTTTATTACACCAATTTGTGTCAACTGTTGCTTTTAAAATCACTTGAAATCAGACTTTTCTACCGTAAATTGAATAGCAGAAAGCGAGGAAATTCATTAAGTGTATTCCACAGAAATTCTCCTAAATACAGCAACGATCAGAGAGGTAAACTTGACTGAAATTAACTCAAATTTTACGGTGAGAGAAACACAGGATTACACGCCATTACAACGCCAAGCTACAAACAACCAAGCAAACTCTCACAACTTCAAAACACTCAACTGAATTTAGTTACAGTGACTTTCCTTGCCATTTTTAAGTGAACAGAGATAAACTTGCGTTGACTAATCGTCGATGGATGTGTAAAAAAGGCAAAAGATTGACGATTACCGCTAACTTTTAGGAGCGAAATTTAGGCAGCAGGGAAAAAATCTGGCCCATAGGCTGTATCATAAAAAGCTGGACCAGTCACATGCATACGACTAGCCAATCAAATTAGAGGATTTAGAATTCTGGCCCACTCAGATGCTTGAGAAAAAAATAAATTCATTTATTTATTTATTAATATTGCCTTATTTTGTTTTCCGAGTAGTTGTTTCTGTTGTTGTCTATCTAGTTATAGCAATTGTAATTTGTAATTTGTTATCTTCTTTTGAAAATCAATTAAAACTATTAAAAAAAAGACCAAAAATTTATCAAAGATACATGGGTACATGGATATGAATTCACTCTGGCAACAAAATTATTTTGTTTCCAGAGAGAATCCATGTACATGTAAGTTAAATAACAATTACAGTCAATTGCATTTAAAGTCACACCTTGACTTCCTCAGTAAGTTTGAATGGCTCATGTAGAACATTTTCTACTTTGACCATGAGTATGGGTTTCTTGTTAACAACATTCTCTTGCTGAAGGGGTGGTTCCAGGGGTACATCAGTTGCTGAGGGATCAGGGTCAGGTGTCATGTCCTCACTGTGTGGTGAATAATCAAGGGTTCCAGTGATTCTTATTCTGGAAAGATAACAAAATAAGGAAGTCATTTTACTTTTAATTAGTTAGCGGTCAAGTTTCCTGGCCAAGTTCTAAGCTCTCTGAGCTCCTTTCTATGGAACAAAAGTCAAAACTTGGTATTAAAGTGCCTGTGAAGTAAAAAAATAATTGCTGCTTATTTGAAAGCTTTTTTTTTTTCAAAATAAAGAATAGTATTTTCCTTTTAGGAATATCTTTTTTCATTTTAGAGGTACATGCGATTTTGTATTGTGCAAATGAAGGAAGTTATGATGTCAAAAAAAAAAAAATGTAAAAAAAAATGTAAAACACTGAATAAAGAATATCTCTAGAACTATTAGGGTGATGTTCTTCAAACTTGGCACCAGAAATGTGCATCATAAAGGAAACAAAATGACACCTGCTGTGTCATTGCTGGAAAACAGCCACTTCAAAACTGCTCAAGACTACTGATAAACAACTGATACAAAAATGCTGGAGAACTCAAAGATCCAGCCAGTTTCAACGTTCCCGGGGTGGGTACTCCTAGAAAATTGGGTGCGGGTGTGCAGCCCGCTTCCCAAACCCTTACCTATTGACCAAAATCTCAATGTTCTATACCCTAGTTATGACCTGATCAAAAATTTGATACCCTATTATTTTTTGCTTTGCGTGAGAAAAGATTGATCGGATTTCTATTGCTGAAAATTGAAGAAATAAGGAAAATAGCAGTTGCACTGTAGTCTTTTCTGTTTTGTAGTTTGATAACCGTGGTGAGCAATTTGGTTCCAATATTTTAACAAAGATTCAGCTGTCTGTCAAAATCAAACTAAAAAGTTTATTTGTGTCTGACACAAGTATTGACTGTAGTTTGAGGTGTGTTTTCACGAGTCTGGGCTCACAAAGATTTTACAATAACTTGGAATGCATTCTTGTAATAAGCATTAAATAATACCAAAATGGGATACTGTATTTTCAATGCCTCACTGCTCCTTAACGAGCACGGGCACCCCCCATTTTTATTTTATAATTAAAGTTCTCCTATGATAAATATTCAGTGGACAAAGTTTTAACAAAAATCTATCGACAGTTTTATTTCAGGGGAATTACCTTACATGTAAATCAACACCTTGTTTCAGACCTGCCATATAACTAGTTCTGTAGTTCAGACCAATGTTAAATTGCTGCAAACACAATTTGTGAAGTGCTTTTGTTGATGGTCTTATCGATAATGATGAAAAAGTAGCTTCGTCTTAAAAACATACCCAATTCAAGACTAGAGTGCAAAAACCATACCCTATTTATGACCAAAATGACCAAAATCAATACCCTATTTACATGTACGACCAAAATGGCTGAAAAACCATACCCTTTGGGGCTGCACAAACCTATATAGCCCATATAAAGGAGTGCCCCGCCCCAGGCAATGTTTCACATGGGCCTGCACTTGTTTGATTGGCCACTGACTGGAAGAGCCTGCTAAACTTGTGACTGTTAACTTTGTTAAATTATCATTGAGTTAAAAATAGGTCTGGAATAATTTTAGATTTTATAAATTAACTAAGCTAACCTTCTGTGCCCTAGAATAACCATTCTTATTTTATCTCCCATGTCATAGAGCTCTGTGATCTGAACAAAAGCACCAACTTGGTAGATATCATCCAGACTGGATATAGTTTCTGCCTCATTGCTTCAAATATATAGAAGGTTGATGATTAGAGAATTAATGGATAACTAAATGTCATGTCCACATACAGGGATCCATATTCACAGTTGTCCATTCGTCTGGGGTGACTGAAAAACCGTAAGGACGACCAAAACAATATGAAAACTCATCTACTGGACGACTTTCTTATGAGTTCTTTACATTCTGAACACTTGTCATCCATTTGAAGTTTTAAAAAACAGAGAAAGATTTGCAGCTTTCTTTTGCAATAAAACACCATTTTGGTCCTCTATCTTGGATTTTCAATTTGTCAGCCACTGATGATCTCTACTTCATCTGCATCTGCAAAAACACGTGGCATGATCACATCAGCTGTTTTCATCAGGAAAAATAAGCCAAATTTGAGCTGGAAGAACAAAACTTTCCATTTACATGTTGTACAGTTGGTATTCTTCCCTGTTTAATGGCCAAGTAAAATGTGACAAGGGAGATGACATACTTGCCCGGCTGAGTTTCGACTTGAAGAAAAAACCACTATGGATCCCTGCATATATAAGCAATGACATCTAACACTGATAGTGACAACTGGTAAATAAATGGCTTTTACAATCTTTAATTCCCCTAGTCATACATGTACGAAAGATGTTTACAGCCAACAAGTGGACACGAGAGAAAATAAGGAAATAATAATAATTATATTGTTGCTCAGTTCATGCATCAGCAAACTCTCAGAATCAAAATAAAGAGAAACTCATGGATATCAAATACAGGTAGCATGATATTGTGTAATTTTTGATAACTTGAACATATGTACATTGTAGGGTTTAAAGGGAAGGTTACTCTCTGGAGGTAATCATTTCATAAAACAACTGATCATAAAATTTGGTTTACAACAAATGTTTCATTTAAAAAGTGTAGCATAACCTGAAAAAACTTTTCTAATAATCAAGTAACACTTTTCCCAAATGATTGTGGCAGTGCTGCCACAACGATTTTACACATTGTGTTACAGTTGCACTGAGCAATGTTCAAAGATGCAACAAAAGCATAAAACATTTTTTACAGCTATTGTGTATAGTGTGACAGAAACTTCGGTTCAAATACCACACATAATTTTATACATATGTATGTATAGCATACATATATACAGCAAGTTGCAACAACTGAGATCTCTAAATTTATCAGTGTTGTTTTTAACAATAACATGCAAATCGAAATGAAAACAATGGTGCTTGGTCACGTACCTGTCTTCTTTTTTTAAAAAAGCACCTGCATATGGCTGAGCTAATCGAGACTTTACTCTGATTAACTCCATAAGTTCCTTGTCTGATATCTAGTGCAGAAGAAGGGACAATACATCAACTTAAGGCTGTGCAAATAATAACCACATCCTTCATTGCAAACTGAATCACAAATATCATCTAGACTAGTAAAATTAACATTTAATAAATGAAACAGCTGGAATACATTGAATTATATACAGCTGAACCTTTCCACAATGGCCACCTATGGACTGTCTGCTGGTTCATAAAAAAATGGCCATTGTAGAGAGATGGACACTGTAGAGAGGCGGCCGTTGTGGAAAGCAGGCCATTAGTGGAGGTTTGACTGTAAGTTGTAAAAAGTTAACAACTATCAGCCTGCAACTTCTTATTGGTGCCAAGACACATCCAATTCAAAATGGAATACATAAATCTCAAAAATTCCTGATTTGCCAAAGTGTGTCTATATTCACATTAGATAACAACTCAAGAGAGTTATGATAGTTGTTACTATCGTAAATAAAATTATGTAATGGATAAACATTTTAAAAAGAACAGTAACTTAAATATTATGACAATTATAGACCCAAAAAATTGAAGTAGTAGCAAGGCCTTTTAAAAGAAAGTGAAAAGAGGAGAGCATTTGAATTTCTGGCCGATAACTTTTTTCACAAAGAAAAAAATATTTTGTCAAAGACAATAATTATCTCCTCAGAGCTTTATTATCTAGCTCTCTGCATGCACTGCAGGCCTATGATGCTCCCTCATCATAGGCCTGCAGTGCGTGCAGAGAGCTAGATAATAAAGCTCTGAGGAGATATGAAAGGCCGCGTGCAAGAACGTCCCCTAGATTTTTTGGCCATTTTGAAAGTGTTCAAAAATAGCTGAATTTTGGCATGTAGGCTTCGTTGTACCTCAGAAGCATTGCTCTGGATTTTTTTTGGCTGGGGCGCTCTTCGTTCTCGAGAAATAACGTATGCAAAAAGCTCAGTTTTCCAAGTGGCATCTTTTGGAGATCTTT